GTAGCGTGCACTTGACCCTCATCTAAACATGATAAAGGGCAAGCATGTACTATGTATAGCACAATTAGTGGCACTGCTGCAAAAGCGTACGAGCAAAAAAAAAAAGAAAAGAAAAAGAGAACTCCGCTTGTCAAAGAACAAGCGGAGGCAGCACATGCAATAATACAAACAATCGCAAAGATGGAGGTCAACACTCCCAGATTAGCTGCTAACAAGGCCGAAATGTAGTCCCAATGTAACTGCAGTTTTAGTATAGCCAAAACATCTACACAATGATGGAAAGGTCATAAGCGGTGTTTGCCCCTCATAACATGGACACATGATATAACGCCTCCGATTAACATCTCTATGTCACCTTTTTACATAAATTACTTTACCCCATAATATAAAAGTCGACTTCTGGGTAGATGCTAATAATTGGGCATTTATCTCATCATTTTCTGGTGCACGACCGATGTGGAATTAGCGTTTACTTGACCTGGCCAATCTGTGTCTGTGATCGGCGGCCCTGACCCGGCCCGGTGGCGAATTATCACCTGGCACCCTCCCGGCGGCCACACCCCGCCCCTGAGCGGCTGCTCTGATCTAGAGGAGGGGGATGGAGAGACTAGGAGGAGGAGGGGGGGACACCTCCCTCCTCTAGACCAGCCCGGCTTAAGTGTTGGATGAAACCTCTTTGGCGATTTGCTCCAGCTGTGTATTTTATACTTTTGATGAGCACGATGAAATGTTTTTTTTTTCATTTTCCCGAGAACGCTGACAGAAGGACAAGATAAAACAAGAGGGGGGAGTATAACAACATGATGCCAATATGCCAAGGACGGATAAACAGACACGGCGAGGTAGACACTTACCCACTGACCTGGCCGCAGAACGAACAACCCTTTATGGGCGAACTGCGCATTCAGCCACGCTGGTTTGAACAGCCAACAACACACAAAGCACCCTCGACTGGCCAAGTTTCTCCGCGTCACTGGAGCTCAATTAACCTTGATCTTAGCCACAAATTAAGCATTAGACGACCGCAACTTGCGACATACTCCACCACGTGGCGATACGGAACGTCCGGCAATCACACACTGCTTTTATTCGCCGGCTGGGGGTTGAAGGGACCCCTCACGACAGCGGGCGGTTCAGGGCAGTCAGAGGCGCAGGCACTGCCCGACCGGCTGGGGCAAGGGGATTGTATGACTAATGTAGGAAGAGCCACAACGTGCATAGAGCAGAAGCTTCCAACGTGAGGTGATTAATTAATACATGATGACAGGAAATGACACCGTGTTGCCGAGAGCAATGGAATGATTTGCAGTTAGCGTTCAGTCATGCGATCAAGTGCGCCAAGCTGGCACCGGGCGGCCAGAAAGTGCCCAACAGTTGCTCCCAGACCAGGGTACAGGGCTGCACCTAGCACGCGCCACGCATTCTTACCGAAAGAGACGACGCGATAGCCAGGAAACGGTCAGCCCCTCTCGCGGAGAACATACCTGAAACGACAGAAAAGACACCATATTAGATTTGTTACAATAAGCTGCGCTCGCTCGCTGGGTGAACCTGAATGTGCTGACTCATTATAATGTCCAGCACACTTGCATTTAACGTTACGTCTCATGTGTTCTGAATCAATTGTGAATTGGCTGGTTTATTTTAGCAGCAACAGCGAAACGAGTTCCATCGCATATCAATGTGGAGCGTCGATGCCAAATGATAAAATCCCTGGAGAATCGCGACAAGACCCGTTTGGCTGGCAATCACCGACAATGTAGTTGTCAGCATGCAACATCCGGTCCGATCAAATATCCGCCCCGTCCCCCTCACATTAGATCGGATCGGGTGGCGAAACGCACGACATTGTGTCCGTTAGGCGCGATACCGACAAACGGGTCCATTGGGAGCGATATGCACCTCTGAACGGCAGAGCATGGCACCAATGGCCGCCATCAGGTGCGCTATGGGGTAGGGTAGGCTGAGCTGACCTACCCCATCCCGTCGACAAAGGGTGGCCGGAACGGGAGAATTGGCCGGGTATGTGTATGTGTGTGGGATTTGAGAGTAACTTATTCTGAAAGATTACGAATATGATTGTTTCCCTTTTTCTTTTCGGAACAATGGATGAACAAAGAATATATACGAACATCCCATATTGTAGTTAAAGTAAAACACATTGTACGAAACCACTTTCATTCTTTTTTTAGATCCCTTACACTGAGTTCCACTGTTAGATCGTGTCATTTTAGCATGTCAGATCATCGAAGCGCGTGTTCATTGGCGCCGTCAATCAGCGAACACCCATTAACGCCGCTTATGTCCCGTTATCAGTGGAGTTTTACCCGCCCATCTAGTAGCCCAGCCCGCATATTAAGCGGTATCGGCGCCTGCCATAAGCTGTGGCGTGCTGCCGACCGCCATCCCGTGCGTCCTTGACCCTCAAACGCCTCCCGCCGCGCTGATTCGCCAGGACAGGCCGGCAGGGGGCACGCCTCTGATCGGCAGACCACCGCTCCCAGCGCCGAAAGGAGACACACCCTCCTCAGTAGCCACCGCCCCCTGACATCAACATCAGCCTCATTCACTGATCTAGCGATTGGAAGGGATACGCTTGGTCAGGATCCCGCCGCCCCTCCTAAACTGGGCCAAAGTCGGCATCGGACAAACCCTAAAGTCGCCGCGTCTCCCCTGGTTCAGAATAATCCAACGCTAAGTCAAAAGTCATGAATCCATTCCACTGTTAGGAGAGACGGAAGTAAAAAAGATTCCGGTTACGGCTAACTCACAGACTCGTTGAGGTGGACGTGGGACCTATTCGGCGCGTTAGACTGTCCGTGATATGGGTGTAACCAGTCACAGGACTCCACTGTTTGTAGTTGTGAGAGCCTTTAATGGGCTGTTCCCGTGAGCGCGCCCCCGTACTGACCACAGGTCGTCTCAGTAGCCCCCCCCCCCCCGGGAGGTCTCTAGGTCGGGGTCAGCATCTGCCGGAGGCATCACATGGGAGGGGGGGGGGGGGGTCTGCCGATCGGTCGCCCCCACCAGCCGCCGACCTAAATTGGCGCCACCCGTGCCGACAGTAGCGGCCGGCGGCTGGGGCGGGGCGGGTCTCCTGCCATCCTGACACACCCACCCCTGCGCTGACCGGCCGGTCGACCCGACACGTCCTGCATGTAACCTCCCCGAGTCGCCACTTGGCACGACCCTGGCCCACAACGGAACGAGAACAGCCGGCAGTTGGAGAGGGGACAACGGCTGACCGGCGACACGTTCTGAGACTCGTCTGACGAGCACTGATGTCGGGCAGATGACCGATGTTTATGATAGCGTCCAGGGCAGCCCGCAGCGAACAGCGACTACAAGCAACATAGTGATGTCCCCAGGAGAGCAGTGGATAAAAAAGTATTAAGCTCGCGGGTAGAAACGCCAGCATAGTTCGTTTAACACGAATAATTTTAGGAAGTGATGTTTAGGCTACGCTATTCAGCGGATGCACGCCATACAGGATGCCAGGTAACATACTGCCCCCTTATTGTATCCACAACTCTTCCCACTCTGAAGCCAGCCAGTCACTCCCGAAATAGGCGGCGCCGCGCCCCAGTTGCAGTGACTGACCAGACGCTAGGTCAATAATGACTTGATGGCCGCTGTATCGGTTACCACCGTCCCGAGAACTCCAGTCACTGACAAGTGGCACTGCAATAAAGGTGGGCGTGCGTCCCTCCAGCAAAGGTGGGCGTGCGTTCCTCCATTTACGGTGGGCGGGCACTACGAGTAGGACAGTGACTATAGGTGCTCGCCCCCTTAGTGACTGAGGACGCCCGCCCCACGTGCTGCTCCAGTGACTTTGGGCGCCCGGCACACATCGTCCGTGACGTGTCGCCGTTACGCAGTGATGCGTCACGTCACGTCGTGACACCGCTGAGGGTGCGCCGTGACGCGGCACCGCTGTGTTACGGGGGAGGGGTGAGATGCCGACAGCACTTGAAGTAACACCGGGCAACGGCTGAGTGGAAGCATAAACTCCTCACAGAGAACCCGAGCTACAGATATCCCACCCGGAATACCAGGTCACCCCTACCCTGTTTGATGGCAGATTGTCATTCCAGGTGGATAAAAAACCGTGTTAGAACAAGAGTAGTCCCAGCCCTTGCCAACCAACCATCCGGCCCATTTTCGACATCCATTCGATGCCCTCTTTTCGCATGAAAAAGCGAGTTCTATTTTTACCGACGATCTCGCCCGCAATATCTGTTTCATTGTGCTTTTACGCTTACATCACGCAGTTGTACGAAATAAACTGTCCCAGCCCCAGCTAGGTATATGAAGTAGAGTGCATATAGTAAATGTGTATCACAAACGAAGCTGCAGCCGAATCTCCCATCAAAAATTGTAAATAAAGCTGCCGCATTTGTTTCCGATGAAGACGAACCAATTATGTCCAGCAAAACAACAGTTCTTTCCAAAAGCTGAGCGCTCAGGCATCCAAAATCGAGTTACGGTCAACGCCCACACAAACAAAAGCAAAAATACCACCCCTGAAACCCGCCGACGTATTTCGGAGCAGCATCACATTGATATCCGGCTGCTTGTATGTCAGAAATCTATGAATAGCTCACGTCTAGCCAACCTATATTTGGGATATATCGCCGGAACAATAAGTCACGGTTACATGAACTTTCCAATCTCCTTGTTCATGTGAAGGGTGAAAACCGTTGCACAGCATCTGGAAACGCTGAACAATGCCGAAATATGTGTCGCATTCCCTGATTGCATCACTAGCTGATGTGTCAACAATGACAAAGACTCGTCTCAGCAGGTTCGGCGTCTCGCCACCCGCACCGCCCGGTTGCGATGGTCATGGTTGAGCACCGGTGGGGACGCGTCACGCACGACCCCCTCTGAGCACTGGGGGAGCACCATCTGAGTCCAACAGAGGTGTTTTCCAATATAAGCCGGTTCCGGAGACAGGATGGCATCAGTTCACCGAACAGCTCCGACCAGCACACAACAACATGAAGGTGAGTAAGGAAGAAACACCAGTGGTAAAACCATATAAACGGTAAAACGTTAGGATATTTGCAATAACATTTATAGGTGAAAAACTTTATGGAACTAATACAACTACAACTACACCATTTTTCAAGAAAATGAAGCAAACCTTCTTTAATTTGTAACTTTGGCGTTATACTTTGCAGGTATTTGTGATCGCCTCGCTGCTGTCCGTCGCCCTGGCGGACAACCCGTCTCAGTACGGAGCACCGTCTCCGGCGTTCAACCAGAAGCAGCAGTACCAGCAGCAGCAGCAGCAGTACCAGCAGCCGCAGCAGTACCAGCCGCAGCAGCAGCAGAAGTACCAGCAGCCAAGCCACGACCAGCCGCCCAAGTACGACTACAGCTACGACGTCCGCGGATACGGAGACTACGAGCCCGTCTTCAACGCCCAGGAGGCGCGTGACGGCTACGCCACCCAGGGATCTTACTCGGTTGTGTTGCCCGACGGCCGTACCCAGACGGTCAACTACCGTGTGGATGACGCCTACTCTGGCACCATTGCCGATGTTAAATACGAGGGTGAGGCCCGCTACCCAGCGCACCAGCCTCAGCAGGGCTACCAGGCCCAGAAAAGCTCTCGCCCTCAGCAGAGCTACAATGTTCTGCAGAACTCTCGCCCTAAGCAGAGCTTCAAGGCTCAGCAGAGCTTCAAGGCTCAGCAGAACTTCCGTCCTCAGCAGAGCTTCAAGGCTCAGCAGAGCGTGAGGCCTCAGCAGAGCTACCAGTTCCAGCAGAGCTACCAGTCCCAGCAGAACATTCGCCCTCAGCAGGGCTACCAATCTCAGCGGGGCTATTAGACCCAGCATGAAGATTGGTCTCGGACTCGGGTAAAGACAAAAATCATCGTAATAACTGCGTGTTCCAGCAATCAGAGACCATGCAGCACCCGCAGTAGAGCTAACAGTATCAGTAAAACCAGAAAGTCCCAAATGATTATGCGTCACAGTGACCAAACTCAGTAGAATAGGGTCATGTTTAATTCCATGTTGATTGTGGATACCTAGTTATGTGTGATTTTGTATATTATCTGTTATTCTTATAATAAAAAAAAAACTTGAAGCTGTTCCTAGTTTATCGGCCGCCACAGGCAACATAGTTAGGAAATAAGATCCTCATGGCTCATGCCTATATTAATTTCGTTTTAGATTAGTGACCTTATCCTCGTAGGTTAAAAAAAAAGTTAATGCAAAACACTTTTATGGATATTTCGAGCACAGTTCTTCATCAGAATAGCAAGTAAAAAACAAACTTTAACAGTATTTAATTTCATTATCAAATTATTGCAATACCTATCTCAATTATTATCAGTACACTATGAGACTGTGTAAAGAATTGAGTGCTTCCAAAACCAATGCGCAAAATGACCATGCCTACATATACAGTAGCTACACACAAACAGCAATATCGATACTTCATCGAATTCCCTAGAACTTTTGCAGAATTGCTTGTATAATTCATATGAAATTTTTACTGTCCACATCAGATGACATCTTGGGACGGGCAGGCCCTCGATTTCCTTTGGATGTTTGTGTTGCGCGCATTCTTTATTTACAACAACAGTCTTCTGAGAACAGATGACGTATGGATATTTAATGAGGACAAAAGCATCATGTCTATAAGCAAATAAATAAATAAGCATCACAAGATCATAGCTATTAGCGCCTGAAAAACGAGAGCGCAGAATATGTTCCTCGCGCACACCAAGCCACACCCGCCCGACAGCTCTGGTCCGCCGCTGGCTAGGTCACGGCCCGGCTCCGAGTCCGAGCCGTATAAAGCCGCACGGGTCCGCAGGTCGGCATCAGTTGATCACACAGCCCCATAGCACAATCAACATGAAGGTAGGTGTCATGTTTCTTACAGGTATCTTGGGTTAACAGCAAAGCATGCTGAAAAGTACATCTGCCAGTCGCCAGAGAAGGGATACTCTACCGGAAAATCAAATAAAGCACAGAATGCCTAGCACCGAAGAAGCACAAGGACAGGTTGCCCAACATGTTGCCGCGTACCTGTTTGGATTATCCGCCCATTGCTTTTAAGCCGTTAACTGGTATGGATTTTCAAAGCATTTGCACTACCCTGGGTCTAACTTTTTTCACATTGAAGAGCATTTATTTCACATACATACGAACATGCAGATACATTTATCATTCGACACATTCTTGTCCTCGCCTTCATCGGTGGGTGTGTGTGTGTCTAGCATTTTGTCTGATATTTTCAGTTCTTCCTGGTCGCCGCCCTGCTGGCCGTTGCCGCCGCCGACAGCGCGCCCTCCTACGCGCCCAGGCCCGCCTACCACCCCCAGCCGGCCTACAAGCCCGCTCCCTACAAGCAGGAGAGCTACGACCAGCCGCCCAAGTACGACTACAGCTACGACGTCCACGGATACGGAGACTACGAGCCCGTCTTCAACGCCCAGGAGGCGCGTGACGGCTACGCCACCCAGGGATCTTACTCGGTTGTGCTGCCCGACGGCCGTACCCAGACGGTCACCTACCGTGTGGATGACGCCTACTCTGGCAACATTGCTGAGGTCACCTACGAGGGTGAGGCCCGCTACGACGAGTACAAGCCCAGCTACAAGCCCAGCTACCCTCAGCAGAGCTACAAGCCCACCTACAAGCCCGCCTACGGCAACTAAGTCACAAATATGTGCATTGTGTGCTTGAATGAATTCTGTTTGTGTTGTATTTATTGTGCGATGTCCTTTGTCAATAAATCCAAACGGTCTTATTTTACCTTTATTCGATTGCGTACCAAATATGAACATAAAATAGAATACTGATCGCAGACAATTAAAAGTGATATATAATCTAATAATATTTCAACACCATCCCGATTAAAAAAGGAACGATTTCCAAGAGAACATATTTTACACGCACCGCTGGTGGCTTCGATTTAAAGAATCGTTTCTCGGCAAGAAGATAAAACAACCCGATATTTTGCGGGTTATCAAATAACCCGATATCATAACCCGTACCACATGTCCGCAGAAAGGTTAAGTGTCACAGGCTCACATAAAAAGTCCATTTCTTATTTCACTGCGGCATCGGGTCATGGTGAAGTAAAACGTAGAATATGATGGAAAATTAGCCTATGATCAGCAGCGAAAACCTTGATTATTGATTTCAGCAAGGTTTTTATCTGGATATAAAAGCTCTCTTGTCCTGCTCAATAGTTAAACATGTGACTTATGCAGCATTCTGTCCCCTATAACGTAACGCAGCGATAATCCTTAGCAAAATACCATACCAAAGAGACATTAGTTATGTGCATTGATGAGCGGATTTAGTATATTTTTTTTTGGGGGGGGGGTATTACGTTTTAGTGTAAAAAAAAACAGAGAAAAGTTCTGTCCGGGACTCCGGGTCACTTATACCTTCCCGGCCTATGGAAAGAGAGTGGTCCCATGTAACGTTTTTTTTTGCGATGGTTCAGAACAGGTTAGCGATAAAACGCTTAAGTTGAAATATCTGTCCAGTGATTGAAACTGTATCTTGTGCCACCAACCACTAGCCTGGGTCAGGTCAGGTCAAATCAGAAACCTATTGCATCATACATAAGTGAACCTCTGCACCGTCAAAAATATCGCAGCATTGTAACGCCCTCAGTGCCAGGGAAGCTGTCGCGGAAAGACAAAAGTTGAAGAAAATAAGAAATTTCCCCAGTCTTGTACCTATATCTCAGTTTTTTTTTTTCAAATACGTCAGGTCAGATCACCTGACCTACCTCCTAACGTTAGGTAGGTCAGGTGATCCGACCATCATTAACCGATAAGGAAAATACGAAAACGTTTATTATGACGCTGGGAATGATCTTAGTCTATCTAAAGCACATGAAATGGCGATTTCATAGACTATATGCAAGGTTCCCTGCTTAGGTTTTGAATTGTGAATCTTATGTGACGTCATATCAGTCGTCACTGAGGTTATTTGAGGTAATCGGAGTTTTTCGTCCACATATAATCCCCGACCAAAGTGGGCTACAAGTCGAGAAGCGCACCAATAAAGTCAAAAAGAGCTGTGAAATCCAATGATATGCTTCATGACTCCCTTTGAGGACCCCTACCTTGGGACCCTTTCGTAAAGAGCAACATACATCTGACCGAGCAAAAGTGGGGCACATTAGGACCACCCGACCTTTCAATGTTTAGTGTAGACTGTATAGTGTATAACCATGGATGAGATATCTAACTTATTTCCGCTGTTCCAGTGGATTTAGTTAGGAGCGTCACCGCATTGTCCGGGCCTACGTGGGATCCCGGGACGGCGAAGGCCCGGACAGCCAGCTCTGAAGTTCAGTTTTGGCTTTAATTTCGGGGATTCTGCCTTCGGATTCATAAAGGACGCTTGTTTGGTTTTGATATCTGTCCATCTCCAGCCGTGTTTTAACCCATGAGCCGCTGGGGAAGGGGGCCCTAAAGTTGCCCCCTTCACGTTTTGTTATCTTCGAAGCCTGATAAGCTACGAACTTGAGACTTGGCACAGCTTTAAATGAATACCTAGGCCATATTTGAGGAAAGTTTGGTGGTAGTAACACTTAAGGTGACGTCAGCGTGACGTTGTAAATTTTTGCCGTTTTCCGATATGCAGCGTTTCTGATGTCGCTGAGCATGAAACTCAACTGTAAGAGAACTAAACAGCACCTGCTGTCATCCTGACACATCTAACTACACTTACCACTAGGTCCTGACCAATGATCGGTCCTTTATATTCGGTTCCACATATCGGATACATGGTGAGGAATCTAAAAGTCGCAAATCTATAATTTGACTTCTGACGTCACTGTGACGTCTTTTCAAATGGGATCGACATCAAATTTGGACACAACCTCGGCTAGGTATTCAGGAATACAGGGTGTCCCATAAGTTCGTTCTCACCTTATATTTGCATGTAAAACGCAGTACATTGCGTTTTGATATGTTTATGACCCCTCAATGTGCTCCCCATTTCATAGGCAAACACATGAATACATGCTGCGGCATGCCAACCGGCATGTTTGGCAGCATAGCAGGCTTGAAGTTAGCCCAGACTGACTTGACATGCGCCGTGAGCTCCTCGAGGCTGGAACATCGCTTCGCTTCGACGAGCCTCGATTTCAATATTTCCAACACATTTTTCTGAAATTGGGATCCGATGAGTTGCCTGGGATGTGATCTTGCCACAGACGCCTATCACAGTCTCCTGGCACTGCTTTTAAGCTTTGCTTGACCTCTGCACTGATGCACTGTCTTGCTTGAAGATGGGCCTACGACCTCCCGGATGCCATTTTCTCCTCCAAAAATGTGTTCATAATTGCGGTTCGAGTTAAGCTAGAAGGCTGAAACTCCTCCTAGATCTTCTTGGTGAAGCATTCTGCGTCCCAACACTGTTTCTGGAGTACCAATCGCAACCTGTTCAGCGTCTGGACGCATATTACCCCACATTACCGTGACCCTGGCCTTTTGCATAGGAATAAAGCGGGCTGACACGAAGGCCTTTTCCGTCGCCCATATGGGACCGTTTTGGGGTTTGGACGGGTGTTTTATCTCGACCACGGACTAGGTAGTCCAGATGACCACATTGATGTCATCGGCCCTCCAGTTTTTTAGCCTCAGGCATAACGAAACAAATGTTTGGCCATTTTAAGACATTTTCGACTGTTTTGCGTCCTCCGTTAAGTTTAAGCCCACGTGACCGTGAGTTATGTACCCCAAAATAATACTCTTAGACAGCTGGTAATCCATCCTGAAAAGCCTGCTTACCAACTTTCTAACGCTAAGACCTTTTTGACGGCCACTTTGGCGCGACACAGTTTTGGCCACATGGCTCACTCCTGAGAGCTGACAAAAAAGAGCATAAACTTGCAGCGATTGACTCCCGACAAATCATCGGCGTCACTTGCTGACTGTGCGTCCAGTTAGCGACAGACATTGGCTACAGAATGGATGGCCTCAATCACCCTCAACCGTCGCGAATGGCCCACGTGCGGACTAAATACCGAGACGTACCCGTATCGGAGACCTCTATGTTGCGGCGTAAGCCGTCTCCACAGGAAGTGAACTCTCTAGCAAAAAATATTTTGTCTAGACGAATTAGTTACCGTGGAACATATTCACAGTTGCCATGGCAACCCCAAAAGCTCAGTTACGAAATAAATTAAGCTTGGCTTTAAATGAGAGAGCCTCTAAAAGAAAAATATAGGTGAGAAGGAACTTATGGGACACCCTGTATATGTGCGAAGTTTGGATTTTCTATCACGTTGCGACGATATCGTCACAGACGTAAAGGGGGCAACTATATGCCCCCCCCCCCCACGGTGGCCCGCGGGTGGCGCGGAGGCCCAGCGGCCGACGGGTTAAAAATCCATTCATGTCTTTTTTCGGACGATACATTGAACTCACACTATCACAACTTGACGTTAGAAATGAACATAACATGGAGAAGCCAGTAACCGAAGTCAGTGTATGAAGGCACGAAGGAGCGAGTAAGGAACCGTATCATTTTCAAATAAAAATTGATGAAAAATACGCAATAGGTACAAGCCAATTCGAATTCCTTCTGCCTTTCGGCAGTATGTGACAGCATGTGAAAACAGTATATGTGCTCTGACAACCAGGCCACACCCGCCCGCCCGACCGCTCTGGTCCGCCGCTGGCTAGGTCACCGCCCAACTCCGAGCCGTATAAAGCCGCTCCGGTCCGCAGGTCGGCATCAGTTGATCACACAGCTCCACAGCACACTCAACATGAAGGTAGGCGCAAGACAAGAAAACAACTGCCAAATAATAATTATGTGGGGAATTCAAACTGAAAGCACAGAACGCCAAACATTGCCTAAACACCACGGCCGGGTGCCACCGTTTAAAAGGTTGCAGCGTGCTCCTTTGGAACATCAGCACGTTGCGTGAAAGCCGTGCACTAGTAGGATTTTTTTTTAAAGCATATGCACTATTGCACTACCCCGGGTCTTACATATTCTTTGATCTTTTTCAGTTCTTCCTGGTCGCCGCCCTGCTGGCCGTTGCCGCCGCCGACAGCGCGCCCTCCTACGCGCCCAGACCCGCCTACCACCCCCAGCCGGCCTACAAGCCCGCTCCCTACAAGCAGGAGAGCTACGACCAGCCGCCCAAGTACGACTACAGCTACGACGTCCACGGATACGGAGACTACGAGCCCGTCTTCAACGCCCAGGAGGCGCGTGACGGCTACGCCACCCAGGGATCTTACTCGGTTGTGCTGCCCGACGGCCGTACCCAGACGGTCACCTACCGTGTGGATGACGCCTACTCTGGCACTGTTGCTGACGTCACCTACGAGGGTGAGGCCCGCTACGACGAGTACAAGCCCAGCTACAAGCCCAGCTACCCTCAGCAGAGCTACAAGCCCACCTACAAGCCCGCCTACGGCAACTAAGTCACAAATACGTGTATTGTATGCTTGAATGAATTCTGTTTGTGTTGTATTTATTGTGTGATGTCCTTTGTCAATAAATCCAAACGATCTTATTTCACTTTTATTGGATTGGGTTAACGCGTGCTACCATAGATGAACACAAAAATCTAATATTGATCATGGACAATCATATGTAAGTTACAAATAATCTTATAATAGCTCAGCACGACTCTAATCCACAAAGGAACGGTTTATAAGAGAACATATTTTACACGTCATTACCAATATGTAGATGTGGTGGCTTCGATTTCAAGAATTGCTTCTCCACGAAACCATCAACTTACCCGATATTTTCTGGGGCATCCG